AAATTGAAGCTGCCGGGGATTGATCCGGGGATCTTTGGGTTGCCCGTGCTACGTTGATCTCAACATGGCGCGCGCTAAAACAAATGGTTAGCTCATATAAGCACGTAACCATCCGGTATCCAGCTCAGCTCCAACATTGTCTGTACCAGTTGATCATTGGCTTTATATCTCAATAAAATGGTTCGCATGGCAGCTGACGTGTCACAGGATTGGAACCCTGTGGTTCTCAACAAGGGGCGGCCGAAGAACCCTGCTAGCAGGACTGCAGTTAACGACGCCAGGAGGTAAGCAATCTCAATTCGAGGCAAGCTTGTGATGGTCGTTTGGTTCAGGACTGGTCAAGATGTTGAAGTGAGTGCGAAGTGGCGTGGCGGACAGAACATGAGTACCAAAGAGGGACTTCCCGCCAACGCTGCCAAGCTTGATCAGGACAACGCTGTAGGATAGTGAGATGCAGCGGGCCCTCCTCATCCACTACTGTACCATTATATAGGTGTACAAGCACCCCCACATCAGCACTGAGTTCCGACATGCCCTCCAGCAAGCAAGGCTGGCTAAGAAGATGAGCCAGGCTGACCTTGCCAAGGCAATCAATGAGAAGCCCACCGTCATTAATGAGTGAGATTGATCCCGTTGATCTCGTCTATCCTCATTTCGCCACATAGGTACGAGTCTGGTAAGGCGATCCCTAACGGAGCCATCATCAGCAAGCTCAACAGAATTCTCGGTACCCGCCTCCCCAAGGCTAAGGCAGCTAACTAGATGTAGTGCTGCTGCTTGTATGCTAAGAAGAGCTTCATACCTCTCGATGGGTCTAGGCTCGGAATTGTACAGTTTCTGTCATTTTGATGGGGAGTGATGGATGACGGAGCGTGATATCATTTATCTGTAAAAATACTCTCCTCATCTACGGGAGAACCTCTCTCACAATTATAATGGTGTTGTCGTACAGTGCCGTCAATAATACTCTCATCCGTCAGCCTGTGGCCGCCGTACGTGCGCTCTGCGGCTGCGGACTTGGGAGCTATCAACGTGATCGGCGCTTGAGTTGAGCATCACCAGCGCTCGAGGCTTATAGTTTATCACATAATTCATGTCTGAATGAATGAACGCTATGAACACGATGAGCCCGCACGCATCTTTTAAGTGAGACGATCCATATTTGAACTGGCTGGCATCAGTGACATCAATGGTAGGCGATTTCCAATTAATTCAGGATGCTAGAGCCTACCCAGGAGCCCTAGGACGGGGAAGTGGGAGTTGATTATATTGCTATATGCTTAGTGTCTTCTGCGCTCACACAGCAATCGCTCTTGTGTGTTTGTCACTGACAAATTGTCAGTCGCTTGCTTGATCCAGTCAATAACGCGTTATTCGTAATTGAGCGAGTCTAACCAAACTCCGCATCCAATCATGAAATATTGACATCACTAGAAACGTCAACTCGCAAACCTATGAAAAACAGGCCAGCTGCTAGAGTATCGCTCTAGCAGCGATCTAGTATGGTCCTGGGGCATATCCAATTAGCCAATTGGTAGACTGCTTCTCGGCACAAAATAGTACAGTTAGTACATAATTGGCTTTCATGGATTTTAACGTGGCGATGGCGTTAAGGGACTGCGTCGTCTCCCGGCTCATGTCAACGCCCTCTTCCCGTCGTAGAAGTTCTGCGACTCGCTCACTAAGCCTCTTAAGGATTCTCTGTTGTTGATTTAAAGGTGCGCGAGGGCGTTCCTATTCGATCATCGCAATCTAAGGTGATTACTAGCGAGATGAGAGCTACTATGGCTTCAGCGATGGCACATCTGCCCCTCGAGTTGAATCGGCCATAGTAGCAATTAAACTGACACAGTTCATAATAATTGGAGTTATTTCGATCATGCCGTCAGAATTGATTTTCCTACCTCATGCGCCTGCCAAATTAATTGTACTGAGGCATATCTTGGTGCGTTGGCATAGCCGCCCCGCCAGAAAAAAACCGATCTCACTAACAGCCAAAATAATTGTACTGAGGCATATCTTGGAGCGTTGGCATAGCCGCCCCGCCAGAAAAAAATTGATCTCACTAACAGCGAGATTCATTGTACTAAGACATATACTGGAGCGCTGGCACAGCCGTTCCGCCCGACAAAATTGATCTCACCAACAGAGGAATTAATCGTACTCATGAATATTTCGAAGCGTCGGCATAGCCGCCCCGGCCGACAAAATTTTTCGCACCAATTGAGGAATTGATCGCACTGAGATATATCTTAGGGTGGTAGCATAGCTGCCCCGGTCGGAAACTGGGCATAGAGCTTCATGCGTTCACACCATCACATCCAGTCAGCATCGTAGTCCCGCCACAGCAGCCATCCAGAAGGCTTGATTACATTGACACCCTCCCCCAACAGTACCAAGTCTATTGAGTCCGTATACTAAGTCGTCCGTACGGAAGCGTCTGCTATGCTCTACTACTGTTTCAAGCTTGTAGCGTCACGCGCTATTTTGAAATTGGCAGACTCGGGCAAAGCGGTAATACTTATGGCATGTCTGGCCTTCTGGAGGCTGCTATGAAGATGCAAATCCCTATCAAATACGCACTACCAACCGGAAGGCAGCTTCGATGCAGCCCCTGACGCAATACCACTGTAAGTGGGCGATCAGTAAAAATGGATGACTCAAAGATCACATGAAAATATCTGTTCACTCATTCCCAGAGTCCTTAGCTTCGCTACCTGGCCGCAGCATCCCTCCCTCCGAAATACCTACAAACACTCCCTGCTTCTCACGAATCGCGAGTCACGATTATGCGCTAGCGTTCCACTAGTCTTTGGCGACTGCATGGCCATTATAGAGTAAGCGTAGCAGATCGGAGGACTGGTAGAAGATGCTACCTGTCTCTTGCAAGGCTCTCCGCGCGTTCTCAGCCGCCGAGGTCTCAACGTGCCCCACTTTCCGCCTATGGATTTTCAACGTTTTCCGAACAGTACCGGAGAGCACTGGTTGAGCCGTCCCAATCGTTTCTGCTGAGTCTTCTGCATCTACGTCACATTGGGTTTCTGTGGAAACTCCGGCGATTCGGTCAAGTGACCCTTCCGAGCTTCTTTCGTCAGGATAAAGGAGTACTCCCACTTTGTCGTACCTCTCATACTTGTCAACCCATTCCTGAACAGCAGTTTATACACAAACGGAGCTCGCGAGCGGATGATAGAGTCTACTCACGAGCATCAATTTCACCTGTAGTGCCTGCCAGTTAGCATCTTCAAACCCCTCAGTACTCCTCGAATTTTCGATGTCTTCAGGTTTAAAACTCATCAGAGCGAAAGCTCTCGTGACATCTTTCCCCGCAAATAGGTGGTATCTACCACCGGGGCCGTAGAGGTCTCGTCGGTCTACACAAGAAAGATTCTTTATTAAGAAATTGAGCGCGTGGGAGCGCGGTGCTCCGAGCGCCCCGACATGTGA